AAGTGTCTATTTAGAGCACCGCCTAAAGTATTTTACGTATATTTAAAATACACTTCAAAGTATAGTCATATTTTTTGATAGAAATGATACATAATGAACAACTTCTAAAATATTTTTCTTAACAGAATAATTTATAAATTTAGACAATACATACGTAGACAATAGATGCATTAAGCGCGTAATTGAGTTTCAGTTGGGTTGAGCAGCGTTTGGGAAGCTACATCGAGTCTTCTCATCGTCGATCCCACAGTGCTTTAAGATGAAAGTCTTTAATGAGTGCGTCCTAGCCGTCATGATATACGGAGCCGAAACGTGGACACTTACGGTACGACTGGTCACAATTTCAAAGTCGCTCAACGTGCTATGGAAAGGTCTCCGCGTTTCTCTAAGGGATCGCATCAGGAATAATTCGGCAGAGAATCAAGGTCACCGACATAGCCTACCGAATCAGCAAGCTGAAGTGGCAGTGGGCTGGCCATATTAGCCGCAGAACCGACAACCGTTGGGGAAAATGAGTTCTTGAGTGGAGACCGCGTCCCGGCAAACGTAGTGTAGGACGCCCACAGGCCAGGTGGAATGACGATTTGCGCAAGATGGCGGGCAGGAGCTGGATGCGAGAAGCCCAAAATCGATCTAAGTGGCGTGCAATGGGAGAGGCCTATTTCCAGCAGTGGAGTGCGATAGGCTGATGATGATATTCAGTTTAGTCACTGTCTGTCTTCTTTAAGCCTATCTTTTAAATTATCTTTATAACTTGTTTTAAGAGTATTAGCTACGTCTGTCGCACATTGCTAGTAATTATTTTTAACCCTTTCCTTTTTTAAACCGACTAGTTTCACATCTTTTCTCTTTCTTTCCGTCTTTTCTATTTTACAATTTTTTGCATTGTTATATTCCGGATTGTTTAAGTATGTAATTAACGAAATATTATAACTTTGTAATTCAAAAGAGATCAAAACCCTATAAGCAAATAGCAGAACATATTAAATAGAAATATATGTAAAACAAAAAGTTATATTTCCTAGACAGCAAAGCTATTTTTAAATAGGTTTATATAATCTGTTTAAATATTTTAGTTAAACAAACACATTATGATTAGTCAAATATTGATCGCCATTTTTTTTTTACTCAAAGAGCAACAACAAACAATTGTCTTTAAATTCTTCTTGAACTCTTGAGACCGCTTTGAAGTGTTTGTTATATTCAATGATGTTCCGTATTTAGAGGTTTCAAGTGGTTTATTTCTAAGCTAGTGCATTTTAGTGACTACGTAAGGAATGTGACACACTTATGGTGTGTAAACCCGATTAGCTATATCACCACGCCCCCATTTTGCCCCTATTTTGGGGTGGGGTTGGGGCACAATACACTTGTCTCTTGAGTTGCAGGTGTTCATGAGATGCAGCAGTCTCATAACCAATTACATTGTGGCGAAATCCACATACCAAGAAACAGAAACATACTATAGCGCCATCTAACGCGGACACATCGAACTACGGAGTACCTCTAGAATGAGAATTGCTAATCCTGTATCGCGATATGTAGAATTCTCTCGTGATTAGCATATAATATACAACTTTCCAACATCAACGGTTGGGCCGCGGCCCGGATCTCGTCTGGTTGGCGGATCCTCCTTATGTGTTGTAGGGATATGACACCCGTTCCCCCACAATATAAAGCAATCAGTATTCAAATATTAATGACAGATTTTAAGTTGTTACTGTTCTTGCCTACTTAAAAAAAACACGTTTTCGTGTCTTTGAATCGGTTGAAGACAAGATTTACAACGTGGAAGAAATACTCCTCGAGTCTTTAATTTTCATCGAAGACTACAAAAAATACTTCAAATCGTAGAATTAGCTCTGCCTTAGAAAGTACTGGCTGTAACTTAATACTGAAGACTTGTGACGCAATGTTTGAAGAAGTGAAGTCTCAAATCGGATATAGGCGGGCGGAAAACGAACTCTGAAGTTTACAGGATTGTGAGGATGGAGCACTTGAAAAGAGTGAGATTTTATTGAATCACTGTACTATTGATAAGAGTGAATTTTTTTTACACACGTTTTTGAGGTATAGGAAAGAATAAAAAGTAATTCGTTCATGAAGAACAAGTTCTTTCTCACAAATTATCATCTTCGGATATAACAAGAAGAGGAAATGCTGAATAATCGTATTGATTCGGGTTTCCTCTGCTAGTCTCTTATCAGAGATGTTCTTTGCAAGTTTAATGTATTAAATTAGAATAACATGTTTATTCTTTCTCTTTCTTCCTTCTTTAACTTCCGTTTCGCCTTTCAATCTTACAGTATAACAATTTACAATGATTTCTTCATTAGAGTTTCACCCGAGTTTATCTAAGTCCTTTTCAGTACTAGAGCTGTAAGATCGTTTTTTATATATTGCTAGCTGTATTGTAGCTTCGCTGTGGCACATTATGGCTGCATTGAGTCTTGGACCAAAGTCTTGGACAGTCTTGTGCACAAATCAACTATTTCTTTTTTATACATATAGATGTGTGTTTCTAGTTTTGTTATTAGATTGCGGTGCACGGGTTTTGATAACATTTAGGTATATCTCAGTCCAGATGTTGTCAACCAACACTTGGAGTCAATGGCATGTTTCATTAGGGAATAGATAAGCACACTGGCAACCAATCTCTAAGAAAACTAAAATAAATTAAATTATAAGAGCCAATGTTAGTTTTAATTATCCTAATTCCCGGCATAATGAGCTGAGCTTATTGACATCTCGTGTTGAATTAGTACATCTACGTAGAAAATATCATCATCATCTGCCTACCCTTTTCCCAATTTTACCCAGAAAATATATAAACTATAAAATGTAATATTCCTGACTCTGTGTTCTGTAATTTCTAAGAGATTTTTTGGATGGATTACGAACTATGATAATCTCAGTTAGTATTAGATTCCCATGCTATTTACTTTCTACAAATTCTTAAAAAAAGGAATTTAAAACTCGCACCCTCTGAAAAATGTCTGCAGTATACTTCTCCTGAAATTACTGACAAAAGAACAGTGCTTTTAACTTATAAAACTTCTTTGTTTAAAAATAAACCGCCATACTGGTGACGAGCACTAAAAATCCAAAAAAGTGAATTTTACATTAGTTCGTAAAAAATAAACGACCTTCAAATAAAAAGTAGCACATAATTAAAGTGTCAAGGCCTTGGTCATCTCACATGATCCGATCCAGTTGGCAACATTTAGATCGTAATGTTAAGGACATACCACTTTAGCGATGCGCGTGCGCAGTAAATTCGAATTTAGATCTTGACAAGTGACTTGTACAGAATTAGTGTAATTGGTGGGCCGAATGATTGCTTTAACACATTTTAATTAATATGAAGTCAATGGCGTTATGCAATGCTTCATTGAGCAAATTTAAATAATGGCCGTGGTAAAAAAACTGAATAGGTATTGAGGCGTTTGATCTTTAGATTGCTAAACGACATGGTCATTAGATAATGAATGGCTATATTGTGGAGACGGCCATATTGTCTAAGTTTTTTAATTAATACTTGGTGAGCGTTTCCGGAGATAGTAACTTCAGTCAACAGAAAATCATAGCGCATACATATTAGATCTTATAACAGACAGCTTGTTTGATGGTCAACTATTACAATAAATGTGCTTTTCTGGGCTCCTTAGTTTTTACGAGGTTCGAGTTCTACCATTACGTGTCTATTAGATATCTGTCCTCCTATGAAATGATGAATCTGACTAAAAGCTGATATTGTCATTGGAATAAAAAAGTACTTATATTAAATAATTGACTATGGATTCGTCATATATTAATCTTTAAATGTTGGAATAAAATCCGGAAGAAGATGGAAGTATTAAGATCTACACATCAAGACTTAGATTCGGTATTATTCTTTTTAATAAAAATACATTCTTATCTATTTTAATTCTTATTTTAAAACATATGGAATGCCATATTTATAAAAGCTAATAAAAAAAAAATAACGTGAGAAAGATACAACATAAAAATACGGAACAAATGAATGTGATATCGCCCTCATCTCTTGATCGACTATTGAATATTTTATGTTCGATATAATGTCTATTTGATTGGCAATACAATGGAGGAAGTAATTCTAGTGATCGAATGGATCATAAAAGTCGTAATGCAACTTTTTCGTTTGGGCATTGCCATTGACATAATGGTAATAAATTCATTTAGTGTTTTTATTTAATACATGCCATTCGAGTAATAGATTCATTTGACTTTGATTGAAAGAATTGTTGATAATATTTCTTTGAAAGACGCGCAGACGAATGAATAACACTGCATTCTGTAAGCAGTACAATAAAAGGCCGGCTCGACTGAAGTGTTACCACGACCTCACAGAAAACTGGCCTTAACTAGTTCTTTCGTTGCTTTTCACCGTTTAAGGGTTAAGGAACCCAAACTCTCCCTTCTTCTAATTATCAGGGGGAGGAGGGGAGGGTCAACTCAAGGGAGGGCAACGAACTAGTGACAGTTGCATACTGAGTTGCAGGTTGCGGTCGCCACACACCATCAGGTGGCTCGTCAGCTCGTTTGCTTTCCTATACCAGAAAAAATAATCTTTAAAACGTATGTGTTTAGAAATATATAAGTACAACCAAAGCAGAGCCTCTTCCAATTTGGTTACCGAATGTAAAGTTTATGTTATTATTTTATCATCATCATCAGCCTTTAACAGTCCACTGCTGGACATAGGATTTGCCTTAGAAAAGAGGTTTTGGCCTAGATACCATACCACGCTAGCAAGATGGTTTGGTATAGAGTTTGTTTTAAGTTTTCCTTCTTTTTGCAGTGCTGTTGTTCTGTAGAGTTTGTTATCTTAGTCAGCTCTTTGACACCCATGGGATGAATATTGGTGGTGACACTCCGTATTCTTAATCCGTCATGGTGTTTTCATTTAGGTAAAGGTTTTAATATATGGGCATATTGCAGCTGGAAATGAATCGCTTAGTGCTGCTATTATCACTTACCTGACAGGCATATAAAGAGTTCTGCCACGACGCCTTTTTCTCGCTGAAGTAGTAGCAACTGTGACCAAGCCTGATGAAATTCGGAGGGCACACGTAGGACATCTTGGTGTTGTTCCTCTGACCCTCCACGCCTCTGCCTGCAAGTCATATACATTATCATACACCATTCAAAATATACAAGAAAACACCAATGAACAAAAGTGGAAACTTTAATCTCATATGATGGAACTTAAGGAGTTGGGTTGACTTTTTCATAATTTACTATTACGTCCCTACTGCATTGATTAAAATTGAAGAATTCTCTTAAACGAGACTAAAACCACTCGACAGTAAAAATTAGTTTTGCCTTGGTCTAATATCTCTAAGATTTTTGCTTTAGATCTTTTCTGGCTGACGCCGGTTCATGTCCAATTATAATATTATCCTGATGATGTAAAAACTCGTTAGGCTAGTCTCTATAAAACTGGGACTTTATGAATACATAGATTACGTAAAATTAAGGAATCAAGTCTATCTCAAGTAAATCTATTCAGTTATTTATTCTAAAAATACTGGTTCATAAATTGCGTATTGTGCACATGACTTTGAATAATAACAAAACCACGTTTTACGTAATCAACGTAACCTCGATCTTGACCGACTACCATTTTAGGCGTCATATTAATGTCGTGCCTCATAAAGCCCCCTCTGACGGCCTATCGACTAACGACTAACATCTTGAAGTCTGTCCTATTGTTTTTGTTATCAACCATCAAAAACGGTGGCTTCCTACCAACTCCATTAAAACGTGGGCGAATTAGACACGTTTGCGAACAAGTTCTTGTCCAAGGTTGAAAATCAGACAAACCCAGTTTTTTGTATAAACCTTAAACTCAGGAATTCGATGTTGTAAATAAGAGATTAAATAAAAAGTATACGTCGAAGATTGCAATTTTAAGAATGTTCCCAATTTGAACATGGATAGATTTTTTTTAATTGTGACAGTTTGCTGGCCAACGTTTTTTAAAGTTTCTTAGAATTAATATTTGACGACACCGAATTCCAAAGATTTTATAAAACTGATAGCTAGCTTTTTTGACAAATGAATATAGCTTTATAAAGATAACTCAAAAATATTCGTACCTTTAGTACAATTTATAGGTTTTTAGTCTAGCCTATTAACTATAAATGGGAAAACGATAAAAGATTTATATCACAAAATTAAATCTGATGGCCATTAATAAATATTTTTGTCAACTTCTTTAATTTTATATGAGATAACAAGTGAATTCGTCACACCTTTCTTTATACTTTTGTTTTAATAGAATTACTGTTTTTTTATTATTTATTTGAAAAATATTCTTGAGGAATGAGTACGCTCTTTTCTTTTTTAGGTCGTGTCGTATTTTGTCATTTCATGCGGGCCAAATCAATTCAGCGGGTAATAGACATTAAATTTTTTAATCTATCCCAAAATAGCATAATAGGCTAAATGTTTAAGGTTCTGTGACTCAGACACATTAAAAACGTTTGTACTTAAAAGTCTCTATATGTATTATATATATTTCAATGTCAATTATTTTTATGTGGACTAATGGCTTGTGGTAATAAACAGGTTTAGGTAAAAGTTTGCGGTTAAGATTGGTTATGATTAAAAATTGTGATTATGTAATAATTTAAACATCCCTAAACATTTTCTATACAACATGTTTACATATATAATACAGACAGATGTTTATATTATAGAATAAACATTTCGCGACTTACGAGCGTGCCGTGTCATTTGATCTTCATAGCTGAGATGATATCATACAAAGTAGTAGACATAAGTCACTGGTCATAAACATTTATCACGCTTATCTCAGTCAAATATCATACGGTGAGCTAATATAGTGGACTAGTTTTTATGCTTGTTTTCACGATAACGCTAATTGATTGACTGTACGGATGGCGTAGTGGTTTAAGCGGTCACACACGCTTTCTACTGCGCTGAGTGTTGCGGGTTCAATCCCCGCATGGGACAATACTTTGTGTGATCCACAAATTGTTGTTCTGAGTCTGGGTGTTCTTTGTGACACAGGAATATATTCCTAATGCGGGAGTCGTTTTTACAATAAAACATAGACTAATTCCTTGGCATATTTTTTTTAGTTAAGGGTGATGAAGTACAATCTGAGACGGTGGTGCGACATGTTTTGCGCGTGCCTCTCTGATCCAGTGGGGCATCAAGCTCCGCGTACTCCCCTCCACTTCTTAAAGGAAATCATTTTTGCTTTTGTCTATTATACTTTCGTTCGTCATGCTGTATCTGTGATTCGGAAATTTTCTCTCACGTGCTTCGTATTTCGTCGAAGACCAGACTTTAGAATACGGAGAGTTTAGTCACTTTTCATCAGCTGAGCCGTCTGCTCGTCTGCCCCGCTTCCATAAAAAATATGAATTAAAATCTTAAATCAAAAAAACAAATAAATGACTCAAGTTTACAAACTCATTTTGCGGATAATGACGAGTGTTTTCAATGAAAGTGACTCTGCATTATAAGATCAAAAGAGGTTGTTGTTTTAGTAACTTTAACAGCCTTCGCATCTGCTAATGGGGCTTTATATAATTAAACTACACTGCTAATGGTCTTTTAATTGAGTTGTAAACTCTCAGATATAGCACTTAGGATTTACAAAGGTCTTATTTTAATCTTCTTATATCCTTATACTGAAAGAGAAAGACACCTCAGAATGTGTGGAAAGTGGATTGGATCAGATTTTTTTTTATTCTAATATATCTGTATGTTTATTGGCAGACTATTTAACATAGCAGGTGTAAGGTATCCCAAGTTAAACTAACTTTACTTATACCTATGTATAAAATACGCAAAAACACTTTTTGGTTTTTAAAGCTAATAAAAGGATTAGGATCATCAGATTTATTTCTATGTATCCTAACATGACATTTGTTGAGTTTGTTTCTATGAATGTTTTGTGTTTTAATCTGTATTTTATGTTATTACTTAATGTTATGTGATTGGTATTATTTTATGTACATTTCAACTCATTTATATATTTTTTAAGAAATAAATAAATAAAAATTGAAATAAAGGTGTCCTACGAGCCATATTACATACTAATATTAAGTTTGATTATTTTGTTTTTAACGTGTCCACAATTAATCTTTAACTTCAGGCTACCAAGGTTTACCTAAAACATCATAATCGATACGAGAGGAGAGAAATTTATCAAACTAAACTTAACTTTCCAATTTCCCAGATTCGGGGATTAGTTTGGGGTAAGATGGTGCGAATATTTTAAGTAATATTTTAAGTTATGTATAAGACTATATTTTTAGAGAATCAGGTCATTTCCACATTCAGGTTACCAATTGAAAGTAGACCACTGAACTGGAGTTTAGCTGTCCCAAAGTCGAAATAGAATGTCTAGCTGTGTTAAGCGGGCATAAAACAGTTTTAGAGACGGAACATTAAGTTGAAGCGAATGCAGAGAAATGCAAATCAGGTCACCTGAATTGACATGGTGTACTGTGCATTTAGATTATATGACGATAGCGCGATAAATTTAGATAAGATATATCAAAAGATAAAGTTAAATAGATATAGATCTATAAAGAAATAAGCGCCATTTGGTGATTTAAAAATAGTCACGAGCAGTCGAGTTATCGGATAGTGATTACGGGCTAGCGCAGACCGAGAGGAGCGCAGCGGAGGACTTTTTAAGACACTCGAAAATAAACTTTATACTATTTTTATAAAGTGCATATATGTTTGAACATGACAAAAAATGCCCTCGCGGCCTCGGGCCAGCTGCAATTTGCACTATGCACTTTATAGCCATAGTTTTACAGTTTATTTTCGAGTGACTTAAAAAATCCTCTTACACATTGCTGCACTTTGAGTCCCTCGACTCTTGGGAGGATTTGGGCTCTGGTAACCTCACTCAATCAAAACGGTGTAGTGGTTTGTGTTAAGGACTGCTACGCCAAAGGTCGCGGGTTCGATTCAAGCTCAAGCCAAACATTTGTGTGCATGAACATTTAATGTTTGATTTGGTCTAGGTATTTCTATGTATAGTATATATTTACAAAAAAAAAATGTATTTATATTAGACTTGCAACGAATAGTATATTCGGCAGTATACCGAATACCGAATATTCGGCGAGGCCCCTGACCGAATAGCCGAATATTAGGCAAAAGTATTCGGCTGGATTTTAGCGCCAAAAACTTGTACATACGTGAATTAAAGTATGTACCTGTTTTATGTACCAATGACTACTTAATAAATGATTATAAAAGAAATGAGAACCTTACCCTTCTAAATTTTGATTACCACAATAATTCAAATACATAGAATCCTCCATTTTTCCTATTCAGAAGATGATTATGTACCTGTGTTATGCACCAATGACTACTTAAATGATTATAACAGAAATGAAAATATGAATATATACGTAATCAATCGATTTTAATTTTTCATTTTACCAATTATTTCTCAATGACAAAATATATTATTTAAGTATTCGGTATTCGGCCGAATAATATGTAGATATTCGGTATTCGGCCGAATATAATAAAAGCAGCCGAATAGGCCGAATACCGAATAGTAACCGAATATTCGTTGCAAGTCTAATTTATATCAGTTGTCTAGTACCCATAGTACAAGCTCTGCTTAGTTTAAGACTAGATGGCGTTGTGTGAATGTGGTAGTTTTTTTTTTATCTTAACCTTGGTTTTCTGTGACGCCGTGGTATCAGTCTGGTCGAGTCGGCTCATTGTAGCATGTCTCTGCGACGGCCTAAATATATTATCAAGTTCAATGTTATTAGTGCAATATGACGTATGTGCGTGATCACATTACTGTGTACATATGTAATAACACCTTCTGTATGTATGTAACTTGATCGTGAAATATTATACAAACATATTCGATTTTGAACTTGACTTGCAATGTTTTGCGTACAATGTTCAACAACACCATTTTTATCGAATACCTACCGCAGCGATTAGGTAGCAAGTTATCTGTCTTTTTTTTTATTTTTCTTGACGGGCCTGTTGGTCTAGTGGTTAGTGACCCTGACTGCTAAGCCGGAGGTCGTGGGTTCGATTCCCACCCAGGACAAATATTGTGTGATGAGCACGGTCATTTGTTCTGTGTCTGGGTGAAATTTATCTATATTATGTATGTATTTAAAAATATATATGTATGTTTATCAGCGGTCTGGTTACCATAGTACAGGCTCTGCCTAGTTTGGGATCAGACGGCCGTGTGTGAGATGTGTGAGATATATTATTATTATTATATTATTATTATTTTGAGTTCAAATATCAAAATGATTAGAGCGAAACTGAAAAATGTGTAACAAGACATTTTTCCGACACTTCAGTTCTTCACTTCAGTTAGCGCGTCGATGCATCTTTTTACACATACATATAGAAAACGTGTATCAAAAAGTGGAATGGACTTCGTTCCGACCTGTGGTCCTTAGACCCCTCACGCCGTTTCTTTTATTTTGAATTATAAAATATGTAAGCTTTTCAGTGGGGTTACCGGAGCCACAACCTCCCCTCTCTCTGATTTTGGGAGGGGAGGCATCGCACTTGTGACTCTTGAGTTGTAGGTGTCCATGGATGGTCACTAACCATCAGGTGACCCGTGTGTTTCTATGCCCCCTATTCTTTAAAAAGACCTATTTGATTTTCTCAGAACACACCGTATGGTGTGGTACAGTCCGTGTGGTGACGGATTAAGAATACAAATTGTCACCACCCCAATTCATCCCGTGGGTGTCGTAAGAGCCGACTAAGGGAGCAAACTAAGCAGGACAACAGCATTGCAAAGAGAAGGAAAACTTGAAACAAACCCTATACCAACCCGTCTGGCCAGCGTGGTATAGTAGGCCAAAACCTCCTTTCTAAGGAGAGGCCTATGTCCAGCAGTGGACTAGTATAGGCTGTTGATGATGATGACACCGTATGTATTATCTGGCTCGACCCCCCCCCCCCTGTTAAGAGTGGGTACTCAAAAGGCCACAATGCACCCTATAGCATATAAAAAGTTTAGACCAGATCGCCATCTACCCAAAGTAGTCCACTTATGCTGTTTGAATTTTCAAGGAATAAAACATCGTTATACTTACATTGCGACCAAAAGACGATATACAGAATAGCAGCGATGGCGATAAGCTTTCCTCTCCGTTCGAGGGCTTCCATTTTATTCACTAAACACACCAGTTTGACGCACTGACACACACGAACAACACTCACACTATAATGTACTAGTAGAATTCATATTTTTTAACTGAATGTTAAAAAAAGGTGACACTGTTCTGAATTTAGAATATTTTTGATGGTGGTCTTTAAAAACAGTTGTGTTGCTTCAAAAATGGAATCTGAAACAAAGAAATACATTTTTTTTAAATATTTTATTATATAAATAGTACTTATATCTTATTATTAAAGATAATATTCCCCAGAGGAGGTCCAGAAATCAAATCAAGGGCATAGACTTTTTATCAGAAGCAAAGAGTATATTAACAGTGTTATCAGCTAACCTGCGAAAATACGTCTACTGATTATAAAATATGTTCTGCCTTGGCTGTATACCGCGTTACCTGTGCAATCTAAAAGATTCACGCCGATGTTTTTGTCTTTATCCTGCTATCTTTTATAATATAAAATAAAATAATGTTAATAAAATGTAAAAAAAATAAAATTCATAATTGCGTAATAAACGCATTTTATACTTACAAAACTGTAAAACTGATAATTATATCTACACATTTATACAAATAGAAAAAAGAAAAAAAGCGCTGTATGATGAAAACCTCATTCTCTTTCTAGTCTTGTCTAGTTATTAATCGATTGTCTTTTTATTATAACAATTTAAATGTTTTTGTAAATAAAAATATTATGTTCGAATTTTGAACACTAGTAGAAATAAGAACACGACTCGAATAACAGTGTTGTACCTTATTTTATTTCACTGTTCACGTCTCAAATGGCCAGTGTACTCCAGTTTCAATTGAGTTATGTAGTATGTAATTCTATAAATTGCAAAATCACTTAGCTGGTATAACACTGGCACGTGCTAACAACGCGTTTTTATTCAGTCATGCGAGCGTTGACCTTATAAAAAGGCATGTTAAGTATTAAATATGCGTATCTTTCTAGTCTAGCAAAGTTTTCACGGTCAAGTTGACGAGAATTTACACCTTTCGTAATACAACAGAATTAAAGATGAGGCTATTTGTCTTCTATACATATACATATCTATACAAATAAATAAAATTGGAGTGTCTGTTTGTATTATTAAAATAACCCCTTTTTACTAAATGCTTACACGGTTTACACGTTTATGTTTACACGGCACATATGCCAAAATAACATTTTTTACAATTTTTGTCTGTCTGTCTGTTTGTTCCGGGTAATCTCTGGAACGGCTGGACCGAATTCGACGGGACTTTCACTGGCAGATAGCTGATGACATAAGGAGTAACTTAGGCTACTTTTTTAGACTAGCTTCGCCCCGCGGCGTTACCCGCGGTTATAACAACAAACGCGGGTAACAACGCGGGTCTCAGCTAGTTATAAATATAAGGTTTGACTGACTTATATGTATTTATGTTCACTACGGAGAGTGGTGCATTTTCTTGCCTCGGGAGGCACGTTAAGCTGTCGGTCCCGTCCCGGTTGCCATTCGAACATCTGTGGTAATCGTTACTTGTTGACTAAAAGTTGTCTAAATTTTGGAAAAAGTAATAGTCGGTAGGTGCAAGGTCTGGTGTGTATGGCGGATGAGGGAGAGCTTCCAACCCCAGCTCTTGCAGCTTAGAGACTGTCTGTTGCGCAGTATGGGGTCGCGCGTTGTCGTGAAGGAGCAGTGGGGACGACCGATTGACCAAAGCTGGTTGCAGATGTGACCACCAGACCTTGCACCTACCGACTATTACTTTTTCCAAACTTTAGACAACTTTATAGTGGGTAAAAAATTCAATTCCTGAGAGGCAGTACAAAATGCCTTTGAAGAGTTTGTGGCCTCCCCTCCAGCAGATTTTTACAAGAAGGGCATCAATAAACTGCCAATGCGTTGGCAAAGATGCGTCGATTGCATGGGTGATTACTTCGAATATCAGAAATAAAAAAGTTTGAAAAAATAAGTACTTTCACTTATTGCATACAAAACGGCAATTTCATAGGTAAAGACCTATTATCAAGTTAAAAAAAGTTTCAGGGAGGTTTTAGCTCCGGTCACGTCCGACGACCTAGTGAAGGTCTCAGGAAGCTATTGGATGCGGGCAGCACAGGAGCGGTTGTTGTGGCGAACCTTGGGGGAGGACTATGTCCAGCAGTGTACGTCTTTTGGCTGAGATGATGATGAACAATTTTTCGTTACTTTTCACCAATTGATCACTCAATTGGTGAAAAGTAACGAAAAATTGCTTAACACCGATTTTTAACCGACTTCAAAAAGGAAGAGGTTATCAATTTGGATGTTTTTTTTTAAATCAACGATTGGGCATATCTCCGCCATATATAGACGGATTTTCAAAATTCTTTTTTGTTCGAAAGGGGTTTATTCCGAAATGGTCCCATTTTTTTTAATTTGATATAGATCTGATGATGAGTTTCCAAGACAGACAGCGGAACTCTTAAAAAAATGACAGCATATCAACCGCGATTGCTGATGGTTTCTAGTGCTCTTTGTTAGTATTTTTTGAGGTCGGTTCAACTTTTTTTAATAAGGATTTTCTTGTTCTCCACATTGTATACCGGTTACAATATTCAGTTAATGAGATCAAACCCCCAAACAATTACTTGGGTACTTAATTTTTTTTAATCAGTTTATAATAAACACCGTATATTATTGCCGGCAATCTTTATAATTAAGTTTAGAATGTTAAACGAAACGATATCCTAGTTTTCATGCCCAATTTCATATAAGATATATGGAATTAAAAATTACCTTATATTAAGCCTGGGTAAAGTAGAACAGTCAACAACAACACAATAAATTTCCAACCCAAGTTTAAACTTCTCCAAGGAAATGTTATCTGAATAAAACCCGCCCCAGGAGGAAATACCCAACGGATGTGAAATCTAGGCCAAATTGCAAATTTCTCTAGTTTTATTAAACAATTACTTCTCGTTTCTTAATTGACCTGTTTTAATGGTCCGAGTAGTCTAGTTTACGTCAGACTTTGAGATTTTTATGAGATTCTACATTTCAGTAGGCGACTGCTTTAGTTTCAGGACGCTGAATCTTTGTTCCTATAATAAAAAATTTAGTGACAAAGTTGCTTATTTGTACCGCTTCTGATACTACGAATATACTAATTTTTCTTTTAACATTTCGCGTTTCATGATCTTGAATTGCTTCTGGAATAATGATACACTAAGAAATCATGAACTATTCGACGGTGGTGGACTATGCCTCGGTAGTGCAGTGGTAGCGTATGCGACTGCTGTTCTGAGGTTCGATTCCCGGATCGGACCTAATGTTTGTATGATCTGCAAATATTTGTTTCTTAGTTTGGGTGTTTTGTATGTATAATATGTATGTATTTACAAAAAAGAGTATATAAGTATTCTATCAGTCAATCTAGCTTTCATAGTGCAAGCTCTGCTTAGTTTGAAACTAGATGGCGTTGTGTGTAAGATGTCCGAAATATTTTTATGAAGGCTATGGGACTAATCCCACCCACACGCCCACCACTGTAACTCCTGTGCACCAGGATCCACAGCAGTGACCCACGAACACACTGAGTTATGACACTCGGGAAGTCCCAGGAAGAAATTAAACTGTCTTGGAACCCGCAACGAAATTAATCAGAAGAAAATTGGAGGAGTTGGAAATACAGTAAATCCACTTCCCTCCTTAGCAAAGCGGGAGACAAAATGAAGTAAAATGGGCATACACCCTTTTAAACAGGGAAGCACCACGGCCACAAATATTACGGGTCCTACGTGAGCTATGTTTGATTTCTATAATATGTATGGCAGAATCGCCTAAACGCACGGAAATTCACCCTAGTTGACACAAGATCCCCATAGTATACCGCCCCAGATGTCACCTGCAAGCTATTCAGCATTATATTACGTTCATTATACCAAAGACTACATTCCCAGAGGATATGATGAGCAGACTGTTCATAGTGAGAGTTAGGTGTTGAGCATTGACACAATGGTGACTCGACTAATTTAAATGAATAAAGCTTGCTCTTAAAGTTACCATGACCCGTAAGAAATTGAGCGACACAGTGATCCACTTATGAAGGCTTATGAAGGCTAGTATAACATAGCCAAAACGTCAAACAGGTAAAAGGTATGTTATTTGTAATATATTTTTTTATCAAAAAGTAATAATTATATCATCCTATTAAATTTCAGGATCATGACTTCGAAAGGGTCCTTATCAGATAGGCATTTCTGTTGATGGTTATTTACAAAAATGTGTGCTCACTTCACAGACAGTAGTCTCACTTCTTCCTAGCATATAAAGAAGTTAAATATACATGTTTAGTACTAAGAATCTACTTTATTCAATTTATTTTCTACCAAGCTGACACGATGTTAAATCTTCATAATTAATGTATTGATTCTGTTGGGTTTCAGACTCAGACTCGCTTGCTAGATAAAGCTCACACACACTCACTCGCAGATATTTATATTTTACTAGCTGACCCGCGCAACTTCGTCTGCGTCTTTCAATAGTAATAAATTTTCTCCGTTTTTGAATCATTCTTCATTGGTGCTCCGCTCCTATTGATCTTAGCGTGATGATATATAGCCTATAGCCTTCCTCGATATATGGGCTATCTAACACTGAAAGAATTTTTCAAATCGGACCAGTAGTTCCTAAGATTAGCGTGTTCAAACAAACAAACTCTTCAGCTTTATAATCTATATATATAAAAGAAAGTCGTGTTAGTTACACTATTTATAACTCAAGAACGGCTTTACCGATCTGGCTGAAAATTGGTGAGGAGGTAGCTTAGAGCCAGGAGACGGACATAGGATACTATTTATTCCGTATTTTTTTTTTTTGTATCGGCGTCGATCACCAGATGACAACGGTGGAACTGTCACAACAAAAGTGAAAAGAATGGATTTTGTTGTCGACAACAGTTGGATTGTTCCATATTCACCACTTATTTCTAAAACGTTTAAGACACATTGCAACGTTGAGTATTGATCGGAAGACCATCTGCGTT